GCTCAGAATCGTTTTTCGTATACAATGATATAATATCATTGGATTCAAATTTAATTCCATCCATTACAGTAACCCACTTGTAATCTACTGTACAGCAGAGCGACATCCACGACTTACCCGCATTTTTTTTTTTTTGAAGGGGACATTTTATGATTGTTTTGACCTTTTTTTAGTTTTTATTTTCATTCATAGTAAAATAATGACAAACATATTTTCCTTGTAAAAAACATGAAAATGTAATAAAAGGTAATTCAAAAGTAGTTTTTAGTACAATTCAAAGTTACCATACGTCTTCTTGTCTAAGCTAAAGGGTGCTTCATCTGTAAATTTATGACAACCCATGTCCATTATTTTACGAATCAAACTAAATCCATTAGCATGAACACCACTTGATTCTAAACCAATAACAACATCCMCAGAAACAATATCTTCAATATGAGGTAAAATCTTATTTCGCTCYACTGCTCCTACAGCAAAACCTGCTACATCGTAATCATTATTTTGATAAAGACCTGGCATCTCTGCTGTTTCTCCACCTAAAAATAAATTTAAATTCAATTTTTTATTTATATGAATAAGCCATAACAAATAATTGCCTATAAGAGCACATCCAGATTGACGGCAACCATCAACAATGCCTTTAACAACTTGTACAACAGCTCCTCCTTCCAATCGACCAGTTGCATAATAATCAAGGAAAAACAAAGGTTCAGCACCATGAACTAATATATCATTGACACACATCGCAACAAGATCTTGTCCAATTGATTCATGACTGTTACATGATWGAGCAACCTTTAAATTTCATAAAATAATAATAAAAAACATGAATATGTTTGTCCAAGAAAAAAATATGTATTGTGACGATTGAGTTATATTTGTGATTTCTCAGCTGTAGGTCTGAATCTGTGAATTTTTGGTCAGAAGTCCAAGTTGCTTCTACAATAACAGTTTGTAAATATAAATAATTGGAAGCGATTTATCCTTTAACCTAGAATTTTTTGTACCTTAACTGTAGATATTACCAAGTAATTTAGCAATAAATTAATTTTGAACAATTATTTAAGCTATAACAACCTAAGGCAGTAGTTCTCAACCAGTGTGTCAAAATTATGGTGACCATAGTAAATAAATATTCAGAAAGCAAAAATATCAGAAAATGTATTGATATATATTTTAATTTTTTCATATAATATATATTTATATCATTAACTTTTTAATAATAATAAAACCATAATTAACTAACAAATGATGTAAACTGTTCACTAGTAAACTAATAAATTGCTGACATACTTATTAGTTTATTACTAATAGCGTTTTCCACCATACCGGCATACCGCACTATTGCACCAAGGTGGCACTGATACTCTGTCTWAAGCGGATTGGTGCAAGTGTGCAAGTGTAGATGAAACATAAAATTTATACTTATCACTGATATATAAAGGTAATAAAATATTTTTATAAAAACATGAAAAAGTCAACACAGTTGTAAAACGACTTTTGATCGATAGTCACTTATCTAATATCTTATATTATAAATAGTAAATGAAAATTATGGAGGGAGGATCCATTAACTTATGATAGCTTATAATATATTATAWGTCTATTGGATGATCATAACAATAATGGATATTGGTTTTTATATAGAGTCCTTGAGACTAGATCCGCCATAAATTTTATTCAAGCATTGCTACTGTAAATAAAGGCCTTCAATCGATAGGAGTTGGGAAAAAAATATATAATTTTTAATTATTACTGACAACGAAACCCATATCTTTTTTGAGAACCTGCAGAAGCCACTCAGACCAGTCATTGAAAACTCCCAATTACAATTTTATTGTGCAAATAATAATTATCTTTTTATTTATCCATACCTTCAATTTAGTGCCAACTCCATCTGAACTGGACACAAGTATTGGGTCCTTGAATGCAGCTGCTTTGAGATCAAACATGGCACCAAATGAACCCAAATCTCCCAGTACTCCTTGCCGTTTTGTTACAGCTACCATTTGTTTATAAATTGGAATTAAATTATTTCCAGCAGTTATATCAACACCGCTAGACTTGTAAGTAGTAACACCTTTAGCGAGAATTGCTCTACAATAATAAATTAAAAATACTTAAAAAATATAAAGAAATATAAAGAGTAAATTCAAACCTAGCAATTCCTCTATGAGCAATATCAGTTCTGAACTGAGCGCCATTAAACATAATTCTACCACAAGCCATAGTGGCTCTAGCAGCTGCTAAAACTAAGTCTTGATGAGTAGTTACCACAATTAATACACGACCACCATTTGTTACCAATTCCCCATAATTGTTTAACTTAGTGCCCATATGAAACACCATACCTTTTGTTACACTAGGTAATCCTAAAAAATTCMCAATTATAATTATGTTTCAAAAAAAGTCTAATTTATAACTCAGTTGCATAATTTACCAGATATTACATCCCCTTTACTGGATGTTAATGGATATCCTCTACTAGCCATCACAACACCAACACAAAATTGATCAGTTTTCCATTTAACTTCAACTGTATTCAAAGTACCATTGCAACATGCCTAATAAAGTATTAACATTCATAAATTTAATAAAATTATTAATTGTTTAAAACTGTATATTTAAAGTAATTACTAATTACATACTTTCATAATATCATAAAGGTCAGATTCTAATAGTGGCAATATTGTTTGGGTTTCAGGATCTCCAAATCGACAATTAAATTCTAAAACTCTAATGCCATCATTGGTTACCATTAAACCAGCATAAAGAACACCTAAAAAGCATAAAATAAATGATTTATAAAAATAACAACGATCAATTAAAATACTTACCAACAAAAGGAGTCCCTTGACTACGAAGACCATCAATTGCCCTTTGTAAAATATTTTTTGCTTCATCCAACTCATTTTGAGGCATGTTGTAACAAGGACAAACTGCTCCCATACCTCCAGTATTTGGACCCTTGTCTTGATTATATGCCCTTTTATAATCTTGACTTGGTAGCATAACATTTATATTAACACCATCAGAAAAACATAAAACCTGCATAAAAATAACACCAATATAAATGCTTTTCAAGATTAAAGTTAATATATCATACTGAAACTTCTTCTCCTTGTAATAATTCTTCAACTACAACGGTCTGACCAGCTTTACCAAACCTATTTTCTGTTAAAATTGCATCTAAAGCCAAGCATGCTTCCTGTTTATTAGAAGCAACTACCACTCCTTTGCCCGCAGCAAGGCCACTTGCTTTTACTACTAATGCAGGATAATCAGCACTAGTAAAAATTACAATACAGATTAAATAAATAATATATCACACAAATTTTATTTATAAATATTAATCAAAATAATTACGAATAAACAAAATCTGTTGCTTGTTTAACATCATTAAATGATCTCCATTTGGCTGTAGGAATATTAAATTCGTTCATAAATTGTTTTGACCATTCTTTGTCACTTTCAATGCGGGCTGCTTTAGTAGATGGTCCAAAACAATTTAGGTTATAAGCAGCTAATACATCTGCAATTCCTGATGCAAGAGGATCTTCTGGACCCACAATKATTAAGTCAATAGATTTCTCTACACACCATTTTGCCAAACACTATAATTGTAAAGAAATAACATTAAATCCTTTACAAAAAAAAAAAATATTTACATTATCACATATCTAATATTAAAATTATTACAAGATTTATTTTATCAGCAATTATTAATGGTTTTCTTTTACATTTACATACTATTCTCAAATTGTTTAATAACTCAAAATTTAAACCAAACCATACARCATTATCACATTAGAGATTATAAGACAAATGACAAAAATTAACTGGAATAAGTTTCAAAAGAATAATATTAAGGAGATCCTATATCTGCATGATGTGTAGTCTCGGTTTCACAAACACATGACAAAACAAARTGTATACTATTCTGAATTAATTAACCTATGTTATRTTTTAATTTACAATTTAAAATGCTACTTCTAAATTTGGTAGTAGCTCAATTCACTCAAAAATTAAACATAATACAATTAAATGATTTATTTATAATGTAGACTTCAGTACACTTGAAAATTGTTTACTTTGAATAACCATAAATTATAACATAGAATTAGCAATGTTACAAATTGTTCAAAAATAAAACTGRAAATTTCAAATATTTAGAGCAATGAAATCAAGACCTAAACTGAATTCAATAAAAAAACYAAATATTTTATTCTTACGACTACTTTTAAGTTGTGATGGTATTTTTATCATAATGTTATATTTTAATAGTTTAGTTAGGTTTGAGTATGAATAAAAAAATTACAAGTTTGATCTTCATTTCAAAAATTTGA